GTTTATTCCTGATATTTTCTAATGCTTTGTTGTGAAACTGGTTGTTTGCCCAAAATGCTGGCTTGTACATGAAGTTCTACATTACTATTATTTGGTTGACAGAAAAAAACTCATGTCTGTTCACGTAAAACCTATTGCTCTCTTGCTCAATTCTTTGTTTAAGCCAAAACAGTCTGGCTTTATGGTAACAAGTACCCACCTGCCTCCCTGTTTTCGACGGATTCTCTTTTTCTCTGTTCGTCTGCTCTCCACTTTCTTTGAGTTCCTCTTCCCACACTTCAGTGTACTTATTGTTTGCCTCATGCAATTTGAACTTAGCTTTGGCAGCCTTGTTTTGTTGTCCATTTATGTGTAGGAACTTCTTCCAGATAAGATTTGACCCAAAAAGTACAGAGTTTAAATCTCGAGAGTGAAAAGGACAAACACACTCATATATGAATGTGTATATATATTTAAAAACAGGAGAACTGTGTGTCTGAATTTCTAGGTGGAACACATTAACCACAGATACTCTTTTTTTTTTTTAATTATTGTACTTTAGATGAAGGTTTACAGAACAAACTAGCTTCTCATTAAATAATTAGTACACATATTGTTTTGTGACATTGATTACCAACCCCACAACATGTCAACATTCTCCCTTCTTGACCTTGGGTTCCCTATTACCAGCTTTCCTTCCTCTCCTGCCTTTTAGTCCTTGCCCCTGAGCTGGTGTGCCCCTTTAGTCTCATTTTATTTTATGGGCCTGTCTAATCTTTGGCTGAAGGGTGAACCTCAGGAGTGACTTCATTACTGAGCTAAAAGCATGTCTGGGCCCATACTCTCAGGATTTCTCCAGTTTCTTTCAGGGGAGTAAGTCTGCTCTTTTTTTTAACCACAGATGTTCTTAACAGTTAAGTACATATTTTCAGTGCTTGGAAATGTTGAGAATGTACTAAAACCTGTTTTCCTTGCTGCAAAGCTTGTATACTTAAGAGAGTTTTTTTTAATAGAGAGAGTTGGCGTACCACAAATACGATAAAAATACAATTGATTTTTATTCC